AATCGGCGGACGAGGGTACGTTAGCTTCCCCGTTAGATTTTTACACGAAGAAAACGATTTTCCTCAATATCTAAAAATTTATCTAAATATATCATTCAGATAAATCCGAAAATTTTTAGATATTAAGAAAAATCATTTTTTTCATATATATCCTCTGGGTACTAAGCCCTCTCACCACGTCAAGGTGTATCCGTGAGAGGGATTATCTAATGTATTATAATATACAGATATTATCTATATTACTAGGCAATTATCAATTGACTTTTAGAAATGAATATCAAACATACGTCAATTCGTCACCATTGCGAAATAAATTCAGAATTTACAAAAGGACTAAATCTCTTATTACGATATCTAAGTTGTAATTACAATAGAATCAATGGAATGGACTGGAGATTAATAAAAAAGAGGAATATTTCTTTTATTACCGACTTTTACTACCGATTTGAAAGTTACATTCAATTTTTTATCATATCACGAAAAATTCATAAGACGCAAAATTAATTAAATTGGTAATTACGCAAATTATATTAATTGTTAAAGTAGGAAACGCATAAATTACTTTATTTGCATGAGGTTATTAACGTAGCTTTTTTATGATTCATGTGATACCGTTCGAAGAATAATCGAGAGTTATACTCAAGCGAGATAAAAATATTACATTTAACAAAAATAATTATTGCGAAATAGTAATAAATTCTATTTTTCCATCTCGATTCTTTTATGAATATTAATGCGAGCTAGTAATTTGTAAGTATTCATAAAGTATAATATTTCATATTATCTAGCATTTGTCGCGATTACGTTTGAAAAAAAAATATGAAGAAGAGCAGCATGCGACACGTCTACCTGCCTATACGAATTTCGATAATGGAATGACTGCGACTGATAACTTCGCATAAACGTGACGCGCCGCCCGGCTCTCATCCCCCCTTCCGCGTCAAAACAAACCAAGGTCGCGCACCGATCATTTTAATTGTCGAAATATTAATGCTTATTACAAAATGAGTAAAATAATCTATTCATTACATTTTTAATATTCTTTGATGAATAAGCTTTGCACGATTTTTGCTTTATTTCTTAGATTTACGCATAGTTTATGAATATCTTAGTTTAATTGTGTTATAATAAGTGATTATTAGTTTGTAATAATCCAAGAAAAAATATTATTTATATATATATATATATATATATATATATATATAT